CTTGTCCATGTGTACGTAACTTGAAATGTGCCGTACCAACCACGGTTTGAAACGGAACCTCGCCGGACAATGGGCACATTGCAGATAGGATTTTGCTACTACTGGAGGTTCGGTATTATCAAAAGCCCCTTTTACTCTGTGCTTAGAAGTTGGGCAAAGGCAATGCACGTTATTTGCTCCAAAATAAACTTGCCCATAATACGCAGTGATCTCCTCACCGAGACGAATTGCGTTGTTGGTGCGAAGGCACGCCACACCGCTCTCAGAAAGTGAATATCACAATTGCTTTCGCAGTCGTGGTTTGCGTAAGCGGCGGGCCCTAACCATAACTGACATTTCTTTCTGTAGGTGCTGTGGACGACAGAAAAATAATTTCGCCCTGGCTTGAGAAATGATTACCAAACCGTCACCAGCCTACCACACAGTTCATAAATCACAGTGCCACTCTTCAACTCCTTTGAGGCCACTACCTTCGCACCAACATCGCCGTCCTCCTCGAACATTGCCCACCGTTCGATGGTGAAACGTGAAGACGGAGCACACGTTTCATTGTACATGATCTTATGTGCATCTAAATATTGGAGGTCCTTTTTGCCTGCACTAGTAGTCTGAATAACAAAAAAACGTGAAAAGTCACATGTAATGACAATTAATAAATAAAATATACCTACTGAAGGTCCTTGATCCATAGCTACAAAACAAAGCAAGACGAAAAAAAGGGCGAAATATCTAAAAAAAAAAAATTATAATGAAATTCAAAAACAAAAATAAAAGTTAGTCCATTAAAACTCAACATCAAATCAAACAAATAACATAAATGCCTGCAGTTTGTGATTGAAACTATTCTTTATAAAAAAACAATGTTATCAATTATGGTTTAAAGAATCCTATTTCCAATATGGTTTTAAATTAAACCGACAGTTATGTGAATATCTAGGTACATATCTAAGTGCACATGCATAATTATTTAATATTAAGGGTTTAATAAATCAATTTTAGAATAATTATTTACTTGCTAACTTAGGTATATAACTTATATTTATAATATATATACTTTATGTATATAATAGTACAAAGTGTCCGCGTTCTGCAATGTACCATTTTACCCGACCGTACAAAGTGTCCACGTTGTACATTTTGAACAATGGACCGTAGAAAGTGACCGTTTACCAATAACTATACTCTGTTCAAAATGAGATGATGACTCGGCGGCCAAGTTGTGCGCATGGGCGTGGCTTTGTTCCATTGCAGCGCCCGACGCGTCGCCGTAGTGGGGACAGCGTCTGGTCAGACCGCCGCCCGACGAAAACTGGTCGCCGCCGAGTCATCATCTCATTTTGAACAGAGTATAGAGAGCCTAGATAATATATATAAAGGCTCTCTACAGTCTATTCCACTACAGAATAATCAGTCCGCCGACCGATTCTCTTCAGTGCCACGCATACCCCACCAACTACCTGGTGTTAACGTGATCAACTAATCAAATCATTCGTGATGCGCGAAAAGTGTATGCCTATACAGTATATAGCTCAAAGAAATTTCGAGAAATAAAATATTAACGATTTTTATAGAATTCTGTATAGAGTATAAATAGGGTGCAAGATAAACCTGTCATAGGCATCCCGAGTCGAGCCTCTGATAGTATGGAATGTTCTTGAGGCGGCCTACCCCCCTCCCCTGTCATATCCAGCGCGGGCTTGCTGTGGCTGCTCGCTGACAGCCGTGCCGCCGGCGTCTGTATCTTTTCCTGGCTGTCGAACCTGGCGCACGTCGCGTCCGTTCGCTGCCGTTTGCAGTGCGTGCCACTGTGGACCACGTGTACATTGTACGGCCGGCGCGTTTTGTTAAGTCGTCCCGTCTATTCATCAATTAGACGTCGTTCCGCGGATCGGACGACGCATCGCGTTTATTGCAAACGCCGAGGTACGTGCCACCCGAAACCCTCGTGTGATCACGAGGTGTGGTAATACATAATCTGTGATCAGCGGCCACGGTACCTACGACCAAGTTTACGTTTCGCGTTTCGTTGTCACTATACGCGCCCGGTGTGTGTTGCGTGAAGTAGGTAAAAGTCGAGTGTGAACACGCCAACTGTCCGTCGTTATTATAGTCTATTGTTTTTTGTGGCATAATAGCCCGTCATTGTTATTATTATATTATTAAGCGCCTATCGCATTTGTACTAACAATTGGAGTTTATTATTATTATTATTATTATATATACTTGTGTAACCTTTTCCCGTCCACAACACATCGCAAATCGTTGCCGCAAACTGCGATATAGAAAAGTAGGTGCGGCACGGCGCAACAAACGTATTCGTTTCTTCCGTGTTAAATGTACTCAGTTTGTGTAATGTATTATAATATATTAATAACAATATATCTTTATTTAAACAATAAACTGTCCCTCAATAAATCAGATGTTGCTGCAAAAGTATCAATGGCCAAATTATAATCTATGTTGATATATCTTTCACAGTTTAAAATAAACAAACTTTGCAAGCCTCTAAATGTCGACCCCAATTTGCTGAGTTTAATTTACCACGTTTCCTACCACAAACACATACTGACCCTACTGTTAAACTCATAATTAGGCCCAAATAAAAAATACAGTCCAGTTTAATATTAGTAAATAATGGTAGGTAATATACACAATATTCAATGACAATATTGTAATGCTTTTTATAAAAATAATTATATAATTAAATAATTTGTTTTATTAAATACCTCACATGTAGATAATATCATTATACACATAATAGATTAAGGTTTTTATTTTGAGTTCTTATTAGGATTACGTTTGAGAATTACGCACAGTCACCAGTCAAGATTTCTATTTAAAACATAAAAGTGATTAGGATTTTAACCCTTTGTAGACCAACAATAAATAGTGATAAAAATTTGATTTTTTTTTGCACCATTATACCATATCTTAAGCTTTGATTTTTTTGATGAATTTTGAAATTTGAAATTAGAGTTTTTTTTATATATTTTTGAGAACTGGGACAAATAAGTCACATTGGTCATTTAGGGAGTATACTTGAAAGTCCCTTTGGACATTTTTTTTATATCCAATAATGAAAAAGTATTAATTAGTTTAAAAATATTTAATTAATTAAATAAAAAAATGGCCATGTTAAATTTAGATAAAGTATTTGTTTTATATTAACAATGACATAAACTTAAAGAAAATAATTATGGTATTAAAAACTAAATGGTCATTTTTTTATATTTTATTTATAATAAGTCTAGTTATTCGACTGTTCAATTATAATTTCATAAGCATTTAATACCATCAGAAAATGCTGTTAAATAAATATTAAATTTTCGCTTTTAAAATTATAGTATGCAGCACAATAACAGTATAATAATAAAGAAAGGTTCTCCGCTGTACAGTAGGTTAGAAGTGGGCCACTGTATAATGAATGGTATTAAGAGGAGGCCACACGTAAAGCGAAACATATACAACGGCCGAGAGAACGCGCTGTTAAGAGTTTTCGCGATCCGCAAGCGCGCGGCGTTTAAGTCACGCCCACTAATCGCAGTCGGTGGCGCTGCTCTTTCAGTGCGTCTCGGGAGCGCTGATTATTATTTTATGAACGTTCGACCAAGATGGATCGTGTCAATATAAACTTCACACACGTATACGCCGCGGTATTATATTTAATATCCGCGCGTACTTATTGAAACTTTTTTTTTAAAGTTACTGCTTACTTAAATATATGTAGACATATATAGATAGTAAAAACGGTAATACAACATAGCTTGATTTGTAGTTATTGAATTATTACTTATACAACTACGATTATATTACCAATAGGTAATGATGGTTGTTGGTTTGTTGCACATATTATTATAATTTATGCAATTTTTAATTTTAATACCGATCTAATATTTGAAACTTCGAGATAAGGTTTTTCATAAGTCACAAGGAACTGAAACATTCCGAAACTATTATTAACTTTACTATAGTATTTATAAATTGTTGGAACACAAATGTTAATTGAATCTTTTTGCCATTACGGTACTTACCTATATATTATTACGATGAGCTATAGACATGGAATTTTGCATTTATTGTATTTTTCATACATACTTTTTTTCGGTTTTTACCAATTTTTATAAAATCAAATATTTTAATATAATATAATTCACTAAAAATGACCTATACAATTGTATTACTCTAAAGAATAACATTAGGAAGGTACAAATAAAAACTGAATCGGTGAACCAATTTAAAATGTCTGATTAACTTTAAAAAATTTCCTTTATTTATTAGTTTTCATTTTTTTTACAATGCGTTGTTTGTCTTCTTGCTCATTTATGATTCGTTCTGAGTCTTTAATGTCACTTACTAATAATCGTTTTCCAAATTGCGGATTTATTAACTCTGGCAACAAACACTCGTAGTAAAATCTGTAATAAAATCATTACTTCTTAATACCTACATTACTTATTTAAGTTATTTGTTTGAGAGTTAATATTAATATTATACTTACATATGTAATAGAGGTTGAATGTTTTTATTCCAAAATTGTTCACAGTATTTTATATCTATACTGTAATACCAATTTTCGGTAAAAATGAATAAGTGACATAATGTTCTTTTGGTTACGTGAAGCTGTGTTTGAATTTGAAAATAGTAATCATGATTTTTTTTAAGTTTAACTTCTCCGTTACTCTTATCCACAGTACAGTAATTAATCTAGAGAAAGTTTAAATTATTAAAAAATAAGATAAATTATGAAATACTGTATTACTTTTCCATCACTAATAGATTCAAATATATCTAAGTAGTCTTTTGCTGAATATGGACATTTTATTTCAATTATTTCATCGTCTCCAATAAGGCCATCTAAATGAAATAAAAAAAAATAACAAATTTAAATACTATTTATAAAGTAGACTAAATATTTTTTTTTAATAAAAATATATAATGTGTATTACCGGGGCTTGCTGCTAAGTAAAAAATATTACTATCAACACACAGACCCACAGGCTTTATATTTGAACCAAAAACCAAGCTGTACTTTTCTTTAGCAACGGGCTCCAACACATATGTATGTCTCCACGTATGCGCGATTTGTTTGGTAGAGTAATTTCAACACCGCCTAACAACAAACATACTATTGCCCTTTTCACGAGTATATTCCCATAGAGGGAGGGGGCTATCGAATTAGCCAATAAATCAAATATATTATATTGTTCTGTGTTTGCTAGGTCCCTGCACTTCGTGAAGTCGGACCGGTCAACCGAAAAATTAGCATTTTTCAAAACAATGTTGTTGGCAATGAGCATAGTTTTGAAAAAAATGCTGCCTTTTGGTGGCAGAAAAGAACGATAATGACCAATAATCATGACCCTGTCACCCGGTTTGCACATATCCACCAAATCATGCTCAATTACTACATCAGCAGACCGGACACCTTGCCCGGCTGGGCTGTTTTCAGTGGACTCTTGAATAATCAAGGACTGCCGATCTTTGAACACTGATATGCCAAACTCTGTCTCCAACAGATTGCCCTCATTATCTCTACTTGGATAAGTGCAATTTGAAGTAGCAATGTCAAAACTATATGAGGTCGATATAAAGTCAGTATGTGTATGCTCATGCATTTTTCTAGTGGCGGGACAATAGTGGACACTTTTCACTATTACTGACTGTACATCCGACGTCATTGCTACAACCCCATCCACACAAACTAACCGGCCTAAAAACTTGCACCTTAAGGTCCTAGGCGTAACATGATTCGAGCCAAACGCACCATAAAAGCCAACAAAAAACTCATCGTTTTTATTTGCATAAGATGGGTCTATGCATTGGACACATTCTTTAATGGTACGCTTAAGTGCTACCTCTTCTACCAAAAAATTGTTTAACAATGCATTAGCTCTAACAATGTTGTACTTACGTACGTCGTTTATATCGATATATATTCTCCTCTTGTTTTCCCGTATCATCGTTTTAATTTTTTTATGGTACACATCGGTCGTGAATTCGTCGCACAGAAAATCCATATAACACAAAACAACTCTGTCGTCCATGATGAAGATTAACTGTACGCCGTCAAGGTGTAATGCGGACTGTAACGCGGACTGTAAGTCGTGTCATGACTATGAAAATATGTGCCATAGATAATTTCAAGAAATTAAACATGCTGGCCCATACCAAGAAAATCCATTAGAATACTATAATGCGTCTCCGTCTCTATTTTCCACGGATGCGTCTCCATTTATATTTCCACGGATGCGGGGCCCTACATATTTCCACAGATGTTTCCAGTCAAAATAAAAATCGATATCAACCATATTCGGAGTATAGTGCTATCTTTTAGTTTTATTTATTTTCATTTATAATATTATGAAATAATTACTCACCAATAAAATCTGAAAACTTTAATTCGTCAAATATATTTTTATACTGTTCTATACTAACTATGTTAGATTTCGCTTGATTAAGAATAATTAATACCGTATAGTAATAATAGTAATAATTATAGTATACGCTACCGGTCTGTTTCTACATACCCCCGGAATACAAGGGTCGTTTACTTTGTGATATGTTGGAATTTAACAATTGAATCCTATAGAGCACGACTCGCTGAGTAGTTTGCCGCTTTCAAATTTAAGGGGAAATTAATACCCCGTGCTCAATCCCCCCCCCATGTTCAGAACATATGAGTCAAAAAAAATATTTTTCTCCGTAAATATCGATTTCTCGACACCCTACCCGAGGATCAAAAATGCTCCCCGGGTCATGTTCTATAAGATTAGTTGAGAAAAAACGTAGGTCACGAGGGGCTAAAATTTCACTTAATGATTAAATTTATTTTTACGTAATTTTTACGTACATCTGTATAAAAACATCGATGTAATATAATTAATATAATATAGTATGTGGTATGAGTGCATTCCTGAGTGCATTTACTATCGTTCTGTAGTGTTTTTGTTCACTATATTATATTAATTATATTAATAAGTACCTAGGACGGCCGTCCGGCTGCTAAGTATGATATTTCCCGCCGGGGTGCAATTATAAAAATCATTTTCTCAGATATAAGTCCTGGACGGCGTAATCAGGGACTCTAAGTCAAAACCCTGATTTTATACGACTTTTTTGAACTGGGGCATATCTGATTAATCATATCAAGAATGAAAATGGCATGAGTGCATTCCTCGTTACCTCTACTATCATCCCTTATTATTTTTGAGAACAACAAGTCCAAATAACGGGCTAATATAGGGATGGTAGCTAAGGGTACTAGTAACGAGCTGTGGAGGTTTCAAGTCGGTAGGTGAAACCGGTCGATATTCAAAGATCACCCTAAAGATCATCCCCAAGATTCGAAATTTACGCATAGACTCACTCGGTACAAATACTCACCTGGCCTATGTGGAGACTTACCCGGCATAAACCTACACTCTACCTGCATATACTTAGACTCACCCGGCACCATTCGGACTCACTCTGTCGACCCTCACACCAGGCTATGGTAGCCAAGAACATTTGCAATATTGCAGTGAAGGTTTCAAGTCGGTAGTACTTTTATAAGAGTTTTAATTAATTTCTGAATTAGAAATTTACAGAACTGCCGGGTGAATTCCGTGCGATCGGACAGACACCGGCCGTCAGCTCGGTGCATACGGGGTTTTTGATATTTTTACACGAAACTAGCAGGGATGGGAGCCAGGAACATTTGCAATGAAACAGTGAAGGTTTCAAGTCGGTAGTCCTATTATTAGAGTTTTAATTAATTTCTGAATTAGAAATTTACAGAACTGCCGGGTGAGTTATTTAAAAAAAATTATTAAAAAATAACCATAATCCCTACAGGTATAAAAAATATGTTCCTGGAAAGAGTAAATACTCTGATAGTCTGATATCCTCTAGAATTGATTATAAGATTAACTCTTGCGATGGTTGGCGAGGAGAAGCTATACACCGCAGCAAGTCAGTATTTCTCGCATTTATTCAAACGTTATGCATACGTATACCGTAATAAAACGACTGGTCTTACGAAAAAAACACGTAAATCGTTTTTCAACTTTTTGTTACGCAGATTACGGACGAAATAAAGGTCGTACGTACTCGGACCATAGAGGCTTTTCGATTTCCCGTACGCCAAATAGTCAGGTTCTAGAGGTCGGTAGCGATCGATGGGGAAAAAAAACCAAAAATGCATGCGCTCAATCAATTTTCCGAGTAAAAAAAATAAACTAAAAATCATAACTCCACAACCAAAAGTCGGATCACCTCGCTGTCGGTGCCGTTGGATTCGGGGCAAAGTGGTCTATAAAATACGACTAAAAAAACGGCTCGGACCGCCCAAAATCCAAGTGTTTCTGCCAAAAAACACGAAAAATTACTGTTTTTAAATTTTTGACCCCCCCGAAGACGGTTAAAAACGGCTCGTACGGTCTCGACACAAGACGCCGAATTTCATCACAGGCCTCCAAACAATAAAAATCTCGAAGTTTAAGAAACGTCAGACGACATGCTGAGTTTGTCCGGAAAAACTTTGAGGGGGGGGGGGTCAAATGTACCCCGGACACGGGGGACCGTTTAGAGGGCCTCGAAACAAAATTTTCGGTGGTGAAACGGAACACCCAGGTTGAAACCTGACCGAGAAAAAAACATGAAACACGACTGTTTTTAAATTGTTGACACCCCCCGAAGACGGTTAAAAACGGCTCGTACGGTCTCGACACAAGACGCCGAATTTCATCACGGACTTAGAGCTCTGCTAGTGTTATGGTTGCATTCGGGGGGGCCTCAGCTATCTAGGCTTTGCATTTAAAAAATGCCCAAGTGTCTAAAACGGCCGTCCGGCAGCTAAGTATGAGATTTACCGCTGGGTTGCAAATAAGAAAATTTCATTTTTTCAGTTATAAGTCCTAGACGGCGTAATTCTAAGTTGTTAACTTTGAAACTTTTACACCGTGTAGCCGACGTGTAAACCAATCGATAGATATACTATTTATAAAGGTGGTACAGGAATTCGAGTTTTTGTGACGGTCCAAAGTGGAAATACTGAACCGCTGTAAATGTGCTCAATGGTCCCCCCTTTGGAACATATCTGTTTTTCCGTTAATAGTAGATACTCGTATTTGGCCGGTCGTAGTATGTCGAGTTTTGGACTTAGAGCTCTGCAAGTGGTATGGTTGGATTCGGGGGGACCTCAGCTATCTGGGCTTTATATTGAAAAAATTCCCAAGTGTCTAGAACGGCCGTCCGGCAGATAAGTATATGATTTACCGCATGGTTGTCATGCAATCTAGCGGTGAATCGTAAATATCGCCTTTAGACGATCGTAGTATGTCGAGTTTTGGACTTAGAGCTCTGCTAGTGTTATGGTTGCATTCGGGGGGGGCCTCAGCTATCTAGGCTTTGCATTTAAAAAATGCCCAAGTGTCTAAAACGGCCGTCCGGCAGCTAAGTATGAGATTTACCGCTGGGTTGCAAATAAGAAAATTTCATTTTTTCAGTTATAAGTCCTAGACGGCGTAATTCTAAGTTGTTAACTTTGAAACTTTTACACCGTGTAGCCGACGTGTAAACCAATCGATAGATATACTATTTATAAAGGTGGTACAGGAATTCGAGTTTTTGTGACGGTCCAAAGTGGAAATACTGAACCGCTGTAAATGTGCTCAATGGTCCCCCCTTTGGAACATATCTGTTTTTCCGTTAATAGTAGATACTCGTATTTGGCCGGTCGTAGTATGTCGAGTTTTGGACTTAGAGCTCTGCAAGTGGTATGGTTGGATTCGGGGGGACCTCAGCTATCTGGGCTTTATATTGAAAAAATTCCCAAGTGTCTAGAACGGCCGTCCGGCAGATAAGTATATGATTTACCGCATGGTTGTCATGCAATCTAGCGGTGAATCGTAAATATCGCCTTTAGACGATCGTAGTATGTCGAGTTTTGGACTTAGAGCTCTGCTAGTGTTATGGTTGCATTCGGGGGGGCCTCAGCTATCTAGGCTTTGCATTTAAAAAATGCCCAAGTGTCTAAAACGGCCGTCCGGCAGCTAAGTATGAGATTTACCGCTGGGTTGCAAATAAGAAAATTTCATTTTTTCAGTTGTAAGTCCTAGACGGCGTAATTCTAAGTTGTTAACTTTGAAACTTTTACACCGTGTAGCCGACGTGTAAACCAATCGATAGATATACTATTTATAAAGGTGGTACAGGAATTCGAGTTTTTGTGACGGTCCAAAGTGGAAATACTGAACCGCTGTAAATGTGCTCAATGGTCCCCCCTTTGGAACATATCTGTTTTTCCGTTAATAGTAGATACTCGTATTTGGCCGGTTGTAGTATGTCGAGTTTTGGACTTAGAGCCATGTCTATTACAATTAATATTTCCGTACAACAGGCCATGTACTATTTTTTTACATGATGTGGAAGACCTCATTTTACATATTTTGCCAACGTTCGACGCTGTTATTCGTTTGCGCCTTTCGGAATGCCAAAGTTGAGATATTCCCTGATCTCTAGTCTCATTTTCCAGATAAACTGAAATTTAAAAAAGTGGGTAAGCGGGCACCACCCTTCTATACAATAGGTGTCAAGTAGGTTACCTATATCTGTGTCTTTTAACTTATTAATAAAATCATTTTTTTTTATTTCTAAATCTTCCAACGTAAAATCATCAGGTGGTAATTCTTCAGCGAGGCCGTAATGTTCATCAGGTCCTGATTTATACAGTTTTTTTTTAGCTTTGAGAGGAAACAATTCACGTCTTCTTATGTTATTGTTGCGTTTTCTCTGGACGTTTTTTAAAAACGCTTTTCCAAATATGCCTATAAAAATAATAAAACGGGTTTAAAAACATAAAGTTATAAAATTAAAATTAATTTTTTTGTACCCGGACTTTTCTTTGTAATATGTGTGTTTATTGCTCGTAAATACTGTTTTGAGTTGAACGCTACAACTGCAGCTTCAATTCTTGTGTTATAAGTGTTGCGTTGTGACAAATTTATCCTTTTCCCCCCAATATATTTATTAATAACACTGTTAAATTGTTCACAAATGTTATTGT